GACAAGGTCTCACCAAGTTGCCCAGGCTGGTCTTGAACACCTGGACTCAGGCAATTCTCTTGCCTCATTTGCCCCAGCATCCCAAAGTGCTGGGATTACAGGCTTGAACCACCGTGCCTGGCCAGGGAAGATATTAAAACACCAATGGTGTCTCCTGCATGGGAACACTTCCTTCCTAGACTGAAGCACTTGCTGGGCCACAACTGTGAGGGGATGATGATCTCTGACAACTTCATTAGTCCAGTCAAGCCAGGGGAACATGGCTCTCCTCGGGCCCCAAGCCAAGGGCTATGCACTGCACTGCCTGTGGCTCAGGAAGGAAGATCCGAGACAGCAGAAAGGGCTGGGGAGTCTCACCTCGTTTTCATAGGAGCTGCCAATCACATAGAAATAGAGATCGATACTGCTTTTGTACACCACTGTCAGACCTTCCAAGAGGGCAATTTCACCTGGGGACAAAAAGGGGAAACAGTAGGTGGCCTGAGACCAGGAAGGGGACAGAAGGAGCTACCTAGAACTCCTGGTACCCAGCTGTTTGGGGCTGACATTAGGCAGACTGTAATGACCTCCACAGACCGAAGCTGATCTGCTCTTTTTGGGTGGCAGCAGAAGAGAAGTGTAAACTTGGGGGAGTCTGAATGTATCTTCTCCTCTCGCCACCCCTCCCCTCCCACTGCCCACTACACTTATTTCCCTCCTTGTGTATGAGACAGGATACTAGTCGATCCTTCGGAGGTGAAAATGCAGAGCGGTCACCTTTACAGACTTCCATTTACCTGCCCTAATGGATGCGGTACAATAAGCAGCGCTGCAGTTAAATTTGTCAAGGGAGGCTCATAAATCCAGGGACTAGACAGGTAGCTAACAGCCAACCTTCCAGCACGGTATTCCCGCGTGAGGTACACTCACCTCCCCATTACATTTCTGAAGAGTTTATTATATGAGGGGAGGGAGGGAAAAGTGAAAAAGGAGGCACAGTCACTTCATCCTTTCTCCGCAGCCCTGCTGCCACCCCCTTCCCACCACTGTCCCCCAACATGGGGAGTGGTGAAAGTAAAATGACCTACTGTCAGTCCGATGGGTCTTGTTGAAAATGTTCTTCTCAAAGGCCTTTTGCTCCTTGACACTGGGGTAGGTGTCGTCATAGTACTGGTCAGAGGGAAAGGAGACAGGGTTGGGTCATTAGAGCTGGGAGCCTAGAATGATTTGCGACTGTGTTTTGCCCTGGGAGCTTGGATTTCTCTCCTTCAAGGCATGGGGCAAGGGAGAAACAGTGACATGAAGAAGAAAGGACTGGAGGGGCAGGGAACAGGCAGTGAGTCATTGAATTTTTAAAACAATTAAAGAACCTGCTATAAGCAACCCCACCTCACATTTCGAAGACTGTCTGAGGGTAGAGGCCTACCAGCCCTATGACAAGGCTCTGCTCCTGTCTGCAATCTAGGAGAGCTCTCCTAAGACGGTTCCCATCAAGTGCTTCCTGGGAGCTACCCACGCCAGGGAGCAGCGCCAGAGAATGCCAGAAATCCGAGAAGCACAGAACACCTCCTTCAGCCCCTCACTCACTGCGTAAAGCTGAAGAAAAGGAAAGGCTGCAAAACCCCCCTCCAAAGAAAGGCAAGCCCTGCCCCATGGTCTCTTATATCCCAGCTTTCTTTTCTGCGAACTGAAAGATGCAGGAGGCAACCTAGCACATCACTGAGCCCATTCCCAGGCTCTCCCTGGCAAGGGGGTGGAGATGCGGCTGCTAAATCGCTCTGCTCTTTAGGGGCTAATCCGTCGCAGTCAGCTGAAGACCTATGACAGGTCTGGCATTTAGTAACTGGATAACTGTTTCAAAAGGTGTCCTGCATAGTTACATCCAATTACAGGGAGGAACAGCTGGTGAATTCTAAACTAATCTCTACATGCTGATTGATTTATGCTATGCTCGCCCGGAGTTAATACACCAGGGACAGAAGAGATTTCTACAGGAGGGGGAGAACATGGAAGGAGAGGAGAGGGGTGTCCTTTCTTCTTTCTTTCAACAGATCCAAAGTTGGAAACATCACTCTGGGAAAGTCAGGTAGTAAGAAGCTTAGTGATGGCTGTGAACCTAGGTCTGGAACCCTGGAATTGCAAGAGAATTCCCTGGAAAAACCCAGGGAAGGGGACAAGGTAGAAGGGAAGGGAACACGAATGATGGACATGGGCAGGCTGCCGCTTAACACAGTGCTTTGTTAGCAACCAAGGTTCCAAAGCTTCTCCCTACTCAGAGGCTGATAACAAAGGAGGTCAGTCTGAGGACAGCGAGCAAGGAAGCTGTGACTAAGGAACAGAAGAAAACAGAGTTGTTTTTTTTTTTTTTTTAGTTGGAGTGTCACTCTGTCACCCAGGCTGGAGTGCAGTGGCACACTCATGGCCACCACAGCCTCAGCCTGCTGGACTCAGGCAATCTTTCCAACTCAGCCTTCTAAGAAGCTGGAACCACAGGTATGCACCACCACACCCAGCTAATTTTTTGATTTATTGTAGAGGCGAGGTCCTGCCAAGTTGCCCAGGCTGGTCTTGAACCCCTGGGCTCAGGCAATTCTCTTGCCTCCATCTCCCAGAGTGCTGGGATTACAGGCATGAGCCACTGCACCCAGCTGAAAACAGGTTTTATCTGGAGTAGTCAAGGTAAAAAGGAAGAATCCTCAAAATTAAACTACTGAGGAAAATAAGCTAATAGGACCAGTCCCAAGATTCAAATCTCAGAATCAGTCTTTGTTCTGCTCCTAAACTAATCTGAAAGGGAATCTCACCTTGGCAAAAAGTCGATCTCCATCATTGTCCAGGATCAGAATGGCTTTCACAGTATACAGGGAGGGTTCCTAAAGAGACATGAACACACCTTCAGTCTTGCAGGCTCCCACTACCCCTGGTAAACCAGATACCTCCCCCTAGTCTGCAAGAAGACACAGAAGGACCTCTGTATGTTCCTTACCCCAACATAGTTAGAGTCTGACATTTCCCATTGAAAATGACCAGTGGTAAATAAGCTGAATTGAGGGAGGGAGTATTTCTTTTCTTTTCTTTTTTTTTTTTGAGTTGGAGTCTCTCTCTGTCGCCCAGACTGGAGTGCAGTGGCCGCTCCCAGCCACCGCAGCCTCGACCTGCTGGGCTCCGGTGATCCTTCCGCCTCAGCCTTCCAAGTAGCTGGAACTACAGGCGCACGTTACCACACCCGGCTAATTTTTTTTTTTATTTATTGGAGAGATGAGGTCTCACCAAGTTGCCCAGGCAGGTCTTGAACCCACGGGCTCAGGCAATCCACTCACCTCAGCCTCCCAAGGCGCGGGATTACAGGCTGAGTCACTGAGCCCGGCTGGGAGGGAGTATTTCAACAAAGGACTCCAAGGCACTATCAGAGAAACAGTTTCTCTGACTCACATGGGGCTTAATCAAGATAGGTCATGCTGTTATTTCCAAATATTAAGGTACAGTTATTTTCCAAATTACCTTCCCTCTCTGGTCTCCCATTGCAGGTGGATATGGAATGTGTCCAGATTAATTAACAGGCACTGCACAAGGCCATTTGAAAATAAAGTTGAATGTTCTAGTATACTTGAAAGTTTCTGCAGTCTAAATGCAGTAGCAATGCAGAGGCATAAAGCAAGCCTTCCCTAAACATTCACACAGAGCCACAGGAAATGAGTGTCCATGTGTACACGTACGTACGTACACACACACACACACACACACACACACACACACACACACACCGGTTCCGAATGCAGCCCACTAAGACAGTCACCTTCAAAAAACTCCCCTATGATCCCCAGTTCCTCCACTAGACCCTAACCACTACGACTTAACTTGCTAGGACAAAGATCAACCTGAATTTTGGGGGCAGTTAGGAAGCAGTGAGACGATCTGAGAAGTGCTCTGGGGCTACAGTCAGTGAGCAAAAGGGGCATTTCTTTCACTACTAAGAATGAATCACAGGATATTGGCTCTTGTAAAGGATCACAGTATCAGCCTTAATGATCACACTGAAAACAACTCCCTTGTTCAACTGCTAGCACATTATGCTGCAAAAGCTTATGTGGCCTGGTGCCCCCTCTACCCCTGCAACTGCTAGGGAACCGCTAACTAGGAGAGGAAAAAGTGCAGGAGGCTGAGGCAGTAGGGCTGCTTGAAGCCAGGAGTTCTGGGCTGCAGTGAGCCATGATTACATCACTGCACTCCAGCCCAGGTGACAGAGTGAGACCTTGTTTCTAAAAAATAAATACAGTGTAGAAGAGAGAGCAGACAGTGATATGTATATGAAAGGTGTCTGCAGCCTCACATTCCTTGACTTTCTAATCAACATTGTTTACCACTGCTATTCATTATGCTAGGAGACAAGCCTGTTGCTTTCCTACCTTTTTCCTGGCCCACAGAAAGCCCACAGTCCCCACAGCAGCCAAACACAAAAGTATGTGTTTAACAAAGATTCAAGATGGAGGGAGAAAGAATCCTTGCCAGAACCCAGAAACTGCAGCCTCTACAAAGATAAACTGTTCCATGAGGCTCCAGGAGGTTTATGGTTCCATGTAAAGAACCGACCCTAGCTGGGTGGGGACAGAGAGGGGGATTAAGAATGGGAGTAAAAGGAGACCAGGCACGGTGGCTCATGCCTATAATCCCAACACTTTGGGAGGCTGAGGCAAGAAGATTGCTTGAGCCCAGGAGTTCGAGACCAGCCTTGGCAACGTAGCGAGATCTCATCGCTATATAAAAATTAAAAATTAGCCGAGCTTGGTGGCTCAGCCTGTAATCCCAGCACTGTGGGAGGCTGAGGTAAGTGAATTGCCTGAGCCCGCGGGTTCGAGACCTGCCTGGGCAACTTGGCAAGACCTCATCTCTAAAATAAATCAAAAAAATTAGCCGGGCGTGGTAGCGCGCATCTGTAGCTCCAGTTACTTGGAATGCTGAGGCGGAAGGATCGCCGGAGCCCAGCAGGTCGAGGCTGTGGTAGCCGGGAGCGGCCACTGCACTCCAGTCTGGGTGACAGAGTAAGACTTCAACTCAAAAAAAAAAAAAAATTAAAAATTAAAGAAGAATGGAGCCGGGCTCGGTAGCTCAGCCTGTAATCCCGCGCCTTTGGGAGGCTGAGTTGAGTGGATTGCCTGAGCCCGCGGGTTCGAGACCACCTGGGCAGCAAGACCTCATCTCTACAATAAATCAAAAAATCAGCCAGGCATGGTAGCACATCCCTGTAATTCCAGCTACCCGGGTACGGCCACTGCACTCCAGTCTGGGCGACAGAGTGAGACTCCAACTCAAAAAAACAAAAAATGGCCAGGTACAGTGACTCACATCTGTAATCCCAGAACTTTGGGAGGCCAAGGTGAGAGGATTGCCTGAGATCAGAGTTTGCGCCCAGCCAGGAAAACATGGCTAGACCTTGTCTCTACAAGAAATAAAAAAAATTAGCCAGACGTGGTGGCACGCAACTGTAGTCCCCAGCTACTTGGAAGGCTGAGGCAGAAGGATCACCTGAGCTCCACAGGTTGATGTTGCCATGGCCATGATGCTGCCACTGCACTACAGCCTGGCCAACAGAGTGAGACTCCCAACTCCAAGAAAAAAAATAAACGGGAGTAAAAGGAACCTAGCCTTTTGACAAGGTGATAAGGAATGTAAGCTTTCCCCACTTGAACTCTTGAGGACTTCCATTTTTATGTTCTGTTCACTGATTTATCCAGAACAGTGTGTGACATATACTAAACTCTCAATATCTGTTGAAGAATTGAGAGAATAAAGGAAGTCTGAGAATAAAATAAAAATGTCTTAGTACAGGAAGCACCTAGGGGACTTCTTACCATTAGACTTCCACATATAAGTGGATTTTCCAGTGTGGTCATTTTGGGTAACATTACTACCAACCTTCTCTTTCTTCTGGCAAATAGTCCTATAGGCCCATCCTATGTGCAGTCTAGAATAAACAAGGCATGAGAAACTCCTCTCACAAACCAAAGAACTCTGTTGTCTATAAGGGAAGTTCTCTAGATTCTTTTTTTGTTTTTTTGGGGGGGGTTGGAGTCTCACTCTGTCGCCCAGACTGGAGTGCAGTGGCTGCTCCCGGCCACTGCAGCCTCAACCTGCTGGGCTCCGGCTATCCTTCCACCTCAGCCTTCCAAGTAGCTGGAACTACAGGCGCGCGCTACCACGCCTGGCTAATTTTTTATTTATTGTAGAGCATCATGGCAGCATCCTGGCCATGGCAACATCAACCTGTGGAGCTCAGGTGGTCCTTCTGCCTCAGCCTTCCAAGTAGCTGGGGACTACAGTTGCGTGCCACCACGTCTGGCTAATCACTCACCTCAGCCTCCCAAAGGCGCAGGATTACAGGCTGAGCCACCGAGCCCGGCTAGTTCTCTAGATTCTAATCTAAAAGATCATAACTAGAAGTAGTTCTCCTAACTCCTAACTTCTCCTAAAAGGATCTTCCCATACAGCAGGCTCAATTCTGTGGCAACTTGGGCCCTCAGTTCACCAAAAGGGAGACACTGATGGGAATGAGCTTCTGTAATGGAAGAGAAAAGAAGTCCAAAGGGAAGGACATTTAGAAGAAATCATTTTCCCACAACCTTTTCCCTGGAAATATTTGGCGTTGTTCCTCTATCCACATCACAGCAACCTTAGGAGATGCCCATTAGTTTAAACTGGGCACTACTCTGGCATAGGAAACTGGTTCTCGTAGCCATAGAGTCTGGCATCCCGAGAACCCAAAAAAAAGAAAAGCCCTAATGGCCACCAGCCAACTGGGAGAGTCGGACAATGTCCCTTGTGGCCAACAGGGTGTGAGTGCCTGAAACAGCCACACTGGCAGAGAGAAGCACACCCCTGGGTTCTGCTCCTGGCTCCTTTCACTGGCTTCCTAGAAGACATTATCAAAGAAGTCCCAAAAATAGATACATTGGATCTTCCTGGGAAGAATAAAAGGCAGGCTAAGGCAGGCAAGGATAAAGACTGGCTTTGACTTGAGCTTGTTAGAGCTCTGAGAGGGGAAAGACAAGGCTTCCAAACTTCAAGGGAAGAGCCACGCTAAATAAAGCTGAGGGCCTGGGCGAGCTTACAGGCTGCTCCAAGTCTCCACTCAGTCGCTCTGGAGCCAGCGTCTCCTCCTCTATTCTCCTGCCACCTCCTGACTGCAGCTGCTTCCACTTCAGCCTAGGGCCTCCACCTCTCAGGAGTGGGGAGGGCTAGGGGTTCTCCTCCCACCATAAAACCAGCCAGTTTAAAGGCCCCAGAAGCCATTACTGATAATGTAATTTCATTTTAAGTTTTTGCAAAGGGCAAGTTTATAAATAACTCCCAGCCACGGAGCAATGGGCTTCCTAGACAATGGACTAGGCTTGACCTTGTAACACATTAAATGCTGATTGTTGAGAAAGACCCTATAAGCTTAGGGCTGTATTCAAAGAACTTTAAAGGTCTATTCTTTCCTCCCACTCCCCACATGGGTAGCTGCTAGAAAGCTTTCGAGACAAAGTTCTGTGATGCACTGACTTTCAGAGAGCCACAGCCTGAGTGTATAACAGAACTTCACCTCAAATGCTAACAGTGCCTGGGGTGATGCACAGGCAGATTGGGCTGAGGGAGGCTGGGGGCTTAGAGAGAGCTTCGTGCGTGTCTTTATTATCAGGAAAGCTGGAATGCTCTCCTCAGAACAGCGAAACATCACCAAACAAGCAATGAGGCTGCAGCAAATGAGTCTCTGATCTCCAATCAGGGGCTTCTGAAGCCTGGTGCAAAACATCCACCACCTCCCAGATGCCCTCCCCAGCACACAGAGGCCTAGAGGGGAAGAGCCATTCCTAGGGCTGCCCCCTGTGGGCCTTCT